GCCCTAAGTATGCAAGGTAACACTAAGGTATTTGTCACTGTTTGCATACATGTTAAAACTGCTAACAAAGATAAAATCAGCTCTTATATGCCGATAAAGAAAACACAGGTAAATAAAAAGATGAGCAAAGGGTCTGGATAGGCAATTTATAAAGACATATAGGAAGAAAAAAACCCACAAAGTAACAGTTTCTAGTACTGTTTTCTAAGTAAGCTATTTTTAAATTCTTTCTGAAAATATTATTGTGACTTCAGCCTATGTTTTCAGAGCAAAGATATGCTACATATTTACTTATGACTAGAAAACAAGTTAATCTTGTAATCCAAAATTACACCTCAATCTACCAAATGCTCCAGTGACATTTACAAGTAAATTTATATTCTGAGAAAGAAAGTAACATTGTTCCCAGAGTATTTTCCATCTATTAGAACAGGCAGTAACATTCAACAAGTTAACAATCACACAATGATTACGTCAAAACCTTGGATATCAGTTAATGTGTGCTGTCTTATCAATGGTAATAAAAACATCTATTGAAATTAAAATGCCACATCATTTTACAAAACCTTTATCTCATGTCTGAGCAATCTGAATATAATAAACTTCTCTGCCAGGAAAATTGCCTTCTAAATGTAAAAATATATTTATCTTTTTTTGATATAAGAAAGTGTTTCAAAAAAAAGAAAGAAAATGTTTCAGAAAACCTGGAGAAAAGACCCCACACAATTCCTAAAACCAGAAATTATAGGGGTACCTGGGTAGCTCAGTCAGTTAAGCATCTGCCTTCGGCTCAGGTCATGATCCCACAGTCCTGGGATCAAGCCTGCACTGGGCTCCCTGCTTAGCAGGGGAGTCTGCTTCTCCCTCTCCCTTTGCCCCTCCCCCTCTGCTCATGCTCTGTCTTTGGCTTTCTCTCTCCAACAAATAAAAAAAATCTTAAAAAAAACACAGAAATTATAATTATATATACTTTCTGAAAGCTTATTACTTTAACAATAAAAATTTCAACTCCAAATTTAAGACTAGATTGAAGAAGTTTTCAAATTTTATCATATATCCAATCATCTAATACAGAACTTTTAAACTTTAATAATTTATAATGTCACTGGTTACTATGTTATCAATATGAAAAGAAAAATAATGGTTGGTAAGTCCGTCCATACTATGGCACAACTGCCAAGTTACAAGTAATCTGGTTACAGGCCACCTTGTTTTCAGGGCTAAATATGACTAAGCTACATTAAAGTGATAATATTTTTATGTTCACATACTTTCCGTTGACATCTGTAGACTTTTAATATCAAAACATTCAACTATGTACAATAATTTAGGAAAAAGAGAAAAAAAAATCCCAAGATATAAGGCAGGTTAACACAAACGTGTTTTGCAACAATTAGAAAAGACCATGTTGTTTAAACTGGTTGTGTTGAAAAATCCTAAATATGGACAAGAAGGGAAACATAAATACATTCCGATGGTGGATCCATTGGATCCATCGGATTAAACTGTTGTAAATTCCTTTATCAAACCTGTGCTACATTCAAAGTTTTAAATACTTGACAGCCACTTTTCTGTTCTGTAAAAAACACTACCACCGGGGTCTAAGGATTATATTAGAGAATTTATTTAAGAGCAATCAACACACTGCCTGGTATACAGTTTCATTTAAAAACAAGCTAAAGAACTAACCCCAGAAACAAACCGAAACCAGTATTAAATTTGCTAGACACAGTACACTGTGCTAAGAATTGTCAATAGCAAAGTCCAAGAGAAACATAAGATGTGATTTGTGTCAACTTAAAAATGGCTTTCAAGTTGTCAGTTTTTTTTTTTTACCATTTGTCCCACAGGAGGAAAAATTAAAATAATTTTAAAAATTAAGAAAAAATAATAAAAAAAACCCAAGGTAGGTCTATAGGTAGTAATACAGAAAGTTCATCATTAAATATTAAATTTGTGCTATTTTCAATAAGATAGAAGTCTGTATGGAATACAAGGAATTAACTAACAGAAGATCTATAAGTAAAAAACATTTAGAAGATGCAGGTTTCTACTTCCATTAATGCCAAGCTAATTTGTATCAAAATTGTGAAGGTATCTAAAACAGCTAAATGAAATTTTGTTCTAATTTCTTAAAAACTGACTAATAAAATATTGAAGAACCACTAAAACAAAATCTAGATGGCAAAACCCCAAAGAGGTAAATAAACATAGCATTTGTGGTTGCTTTTGCCTTCAGGGCATTTGCCAGTCCAGAAGAACCCAATGGGAAAATAAGCTGTGGTTCTGGAGGCAGTGAACACAAAGAGGAACAAAATTCAAAGTTCTGGGCGTATACAAAGTATAAAGTTTACTAAACCATACTCAACATACATTAAGCTAGGACTCTAAGGACTACACCTTCAGGGTAAGGATGAACCAGAAACAAACTAGCTTTCTTGGTATACATCACCAAATGATCCAAGGGAACTTCAACCCCTGAACTTAGTTAGGTTACATAAGTCCTGGAGTGATGGTGCCCAAGGCACATTTTAGAAACATAAATTCCTACCTGATGGCCTCATATTATTCCGACAAGTAAGTTTTAAAATCTAATGACTAGTACCTAGTCATGAGTCAGAAGCATGAGAGGCTACTGCTAACAGAAACAAACCCACCAAGATTTCAAATATTTTAACTGTTACTTCTAGACTACAGCTGACCCTTGAACAACATGGGTTTGAACTGTATAGGTCCACTTATACAGATTTTTTTCAATAAATACAGTACAGTACAGGGGCACCTGGGTGGCTCAGTCGGTTAAGCATCCAACTCTTGATTTCAGCTTAGGTTATGATCTCAGGATTGTGGGACTGAACCCCACATCAGGCTACACGTTCAGAGTGGAGTCTGCTGGAGATTCTTTCCCTCCCTCTCTCTGTGCCCCTCCCCCATACATATTCTCTTTCTCTCAATAAAGTCTTTAAAAAAAATACAGTACAGTACTATATCTTCTCTTATGATTTTCTTAACATTTTCTTTTTTCTAGCTTACTTCATTGTAAGAACACAGTATATAATACATATAACATACAAAATATGTGTTAATTAACTGTTTATGTTATTGGTAAGGTTTCTGCTCAACAGAGGTCTATTAGTAGTTAAGTTTGGGGGGAATCAAAAGTTATATGCAGATTTTGACCTTATGGGGATTCACCTTACACCCCTGCATTGTTCAAGGGTCAACTGCATATGTTTGCCATATTAAAGAAGTTCTAATTTAGAGCTTGAAAATGTTTTCAGGGAACAAAGAGCTATAAAAAGTGACACTGCTAGGGGCACCTGGGTGGCATAGTTGGTTGAGTGTCTTACTTTTGGTTTTGGCTCAGGTCGAGATCTCAAGAGTCCTGGGATCAAGCTCTGTGACCAGCGCCATAGCCAGCTTGGAGTCTGCTTGGGATTCTCTCTCCCTTCTCCCTCTGCCCCTCCCTGTACACACATGCACGCCCTTGCTCTCTCAAATAAATCTTTAAAAAAAAAAAGTGACACTGCTGGTTTTAAAAAGAATCAAACAGAATTTCCAGAAAAAAAGTAACTGAAATTATGACTCAATTGATGAGTTTTAACAATAAATCAGAAGCAATAAATTAGAAGTGTGTTTACAAGATAATAAGTAATTGGAAGGGTAAAGGTTTTGCTTTCTATAATACAGTGCAAAAGCAATTAAAAAAAAAAAGAGCATCAGCAAAAAACAATTTCCCATTGAACCCAGAATGGCAAATCTTATCATAAGCCACTTCTCAAGGTAAAAATTACAATCATAGCACCCATCGAGGCTTACTTCAGCTAGATGTTTTGGAGTCCCCAATTCCAAAGTATAGCCAAATCCAAAAGTTATACCTAACTAGGGATTATACCATATATGACAGAATAAACGTTCCTGTGAATTGATTTGCTAAAAATTTGCAGGTAGTCTTTCCAGATCTTTAAAAAAGCTGTTTGTTAAATACTGATTATCCATTCTGTAAGTCCTGACTTTTCTCACACTAGTTTCTCAACCTGGGCACTATGATATTTTGGGATGGATACTTCTTTGTTTTGAGAGGCTGTCCTATGTACTGTGGATGTTTAGCAATATCCCTGGCCTCCACCCATTATGCCAGTAGCATACTCTAAGCCAGTAGAATCTCCCAGGTGTGACAATCAAAAATGTTTCCAGACATTACCAAGTGTCCACTGGGAAACAAAATAGACACCTGTTGTCTAGGTGTCAGAGAAATTAAACTAAATTAGGGAAAAAAAAACTTTCTAAAGTCAAGTATAGTTATTTCTATATATCAGGCATTAGATCATTATTATTTGAATGAAATATGAATAATCTATTCATGCTAGACATATTTCAGTTGGATAGCCTATTTCCTTACTCTACTCATTTTGAAGATTAAATAAAAGAGCCAGATTAAGAGAGAAGTCAGTAACAGAAATTTTAAGCTGATTCATTTTTTAAATTACTGACATTTTAACAGATCCAACAAACAGTTACTGCTTGTTTTCTATGCATCTAGACACTATTACCTATATGATATAACATAACTGGAAAAGTCTTAGGAAAAGTAAAACATTTCAATAATTTTATTTTGGAATTCTTAATATTTGTGCAGAACTGTTTAGCAAGTAAATGTTATACAGAGAGCACAAAGAGGTTTTACTATTATAGCTTAATCATCTTTGAGTGTATGATTCATAAGAAATGATATAGTTTATTGTCTTCCTTTCCCTCTCATTTCAAATTATTAGAACATTCCTCTAAAAATTAAAAGTTGAAGGACTACTTTTGTGATATGCGCTTCCTCTGATAATCTTATAAAATTGGAACCATGACCTTATGACCTATTTTCATTCCTCAACTATATGGCCAAGTAAACACACTGTTTATGATTTTTAAAAAATCATGCTCTCAAATGTTTAACAGGCTAATAAAGAAAAATATCCATAGTTTTTAATAGATAATAAGGCTCTTACCTACAACCAACATTTGGATCAGCATTTCTTGAAAGCAGTAGCTCTACACACTTTAAAATCTGTTCCTCTGAGCCACGTGCAGAACATGCAGTTATCAAAATAGTCTGCTTATCTGTAGTGAAAAGAAAAGTGAGGAAACACCCCCACACACATCAAGAAGGTATCTGACTTTTTTTACCATTCAAAAGATTCTAAATTTTTCCTGTACTCTTAAAATTTTATAACCTATTCTCAAATCTCTTACTCTTAGTAGATACCTTTGTCTACCTGTCTACCTTCATCAAAAAATGAGATTAGGAATGAACTGCCTTAATCTCCAAAATATATCTAGGGGCAGCTGGGTGGCTCAGTTGTTAGGCATCTCCCTTGGGCTCAGGTCATGATCCCAGGGTCCTGGGATCAAGCCCCACATGAGGTCCCTCCTCAGCGGGAAGCCTGCTTCTCCCTCTCCCACTCCCCCTGCTTGTGTTCCCTCTCTTGCTGTGTCTCTCTCTGTCAAATAAATAAATAAA